ACTAGTTGACAGTGTGACAGAAAAGGCTTATGAGATACGCTTGTAAGAACAGATAAGAATGGTACGACTTTAAGTAATTTGTAATTTTTAGATTTTAAATATGTGAAGTTTATCAATTATTTTGTCCAAGTAGTAATAATTAAGATAACAAATTATGTTATTGTAAAAATAAAACGGAATTTATGGTGGAAACGTTATGTAAACCTATGAGTCGTCTGGTGTTCTACTGTATATTTGGTGTTTGTATCGAAGTGAGGTATGTTTCACCAAAAATTTTTTGTACGTTTTTTAGTTTTTTATTTGTGTTCGGTTGTATCCATATAATATTTTATATATATTTAGTTGGCTGAAGAGGGGCAAATGCCCGAAACGTAGATGTATAGCAAAACGTTCTAACTGAATAAAGATTGAAACTTGCCTAGTGTTGAAGAAAAGTCACTTCATTGTGCCAGTATACAATACATAAATACAACACGGTTTCGACAACAACAATATAATTTTTCTGTTTATACTAAAAGCTGTAGCTCTATTAATACATATTTGCATTTGTAGTTATAATTATAATAATACTTGATATACCTTTTGTATTTTATAATTACATTAATTAATCATATTCTAGGGATTAAAGACAGGAATGTATTATCTAAGAACTAAGCCAGCAGCCAATGCCATTCAATTCACCGTAGATAAAACAACATTGACAAAAACAGCAGAAACGTCTAATGAAATTCAGCAAGAAAAACAAAAACAAGCAATGGTATGCTCTCTTCAAAACAAGGAAGAATGTCTCATGTGCAGTGCTTAAACATTTTATTCAAAATGTTGATCATTTCAAAGAAATTTATAATATAAAATATGCCTCTGAAGAAATTTTGACAATCATTTGATATTTTTAAAGAATTTTTCCAGTTTGATAACTATTCAAATAATATTTTTTTAAAAATAAGTTGAAGTTTAAGGCTAGATAAAAAATACATTTTGTAAAAAATTTAGAAAAGAAATATAAATTGTTATTCTCTAGGAACACATNATATTTTTCCCTCACCACTGCCACACGATCGCCCTTGACGAATATATTTATCACTCACTGCTGAGTGGTTAATATGATTAATTATATTTCATGATATTTAATGAATAAAAATTTAATTTGGTTTCCAGAATCAAGCATTTTTACTTTCCTGGTTGTTACATAAGAGGGAAAGTATGGCAATTGGTCAAAAAAAAAAAAAAAAGACTCCCCAAGGTTTTTAGATTTTTGGACTTAGGACACCTTGAAATGTTAAGAAATGCAAAAAAAATTTGGAGTTTGTGTTAATTTGTGTATGTATGGATGTTAATGTGTGTGGGCAAGATTTTGTTCATCTTATTTGAAGCTTAATAATTCTTGTGCTTTTTTGTCAAAAATTTTGAAATTTTGCAGGAAGGGTTGTTTATTAGAGGGATTGATGCTATTAAATTTTGGTGGGTTAAGATCAAGGGGCTGGGGAAATAATGGGGATCGTGTGTATCTCCAGTAGGGTCGGACAATTTTACTTGTTATTTGCATTTACAGTTTCTTATAAAACCCATCCCTACCCTCAAAATTAAGCTTTTTGCCATTTTATATAGTTATAATAGTTATAAAAAGTTTGTTAATAAAATATGATATTTTTAACAGATAGTACCACTAAAATTTTAAATGTTGCCAAACCAGTAGTTTGATTTTATCAATTGGCATCACGTGTTCAGTATTCAAAAAATAATGGTGGCCAATAGAAGTTGCAGCTAATAATCTTTCTTCATAGTTCTAAATCAGATTTACTGTATAAACAAAATTTGCAATGATAATTTCAAAATTTTATTTTCTAACTTTGAAAAATTACAGCAAGTATCAATGAAATTGTACTGCAAATGCATCACTTCATTATTTTCTCCTAGGAATGTATTGCTTGATGTAATTGACTCATTTTGAGATAAAATGTGATTATTCTGAACTTTCTCATTTCCATTTTCCCATACATTATAATTATACAGTTCACATACTTGTAAAATTAATTTGAAATTAGTTACATTTATATATATTTACTTTTGTGTAAATCTTAAAATTTAGTTAAGAAAACACCAAAATATAACAAACAAAAAATCCAATTTTACAAATCAAAAGACATTCTATGGACTGTCTGATGGCTAAAAATGGCAGTTGTCATATGTTTAGTAATGCATACAGTTTGCTGAAATAACAGGCTGACCAGCTTTAACTGATGTCCATTTTTGCCTGTTAATGACCAAAATATTAGCTATTGTATTTGAGTTTCATCATTCACTTAATACTTCACTCAATTGAATGATTTTCAAATGGAAAATAACATTATCTGCTTCTTAGAACTATTTTGAATACTGTAGTACATTGAATTCACATTTGTCTCGCTGTCTATGTTATATATATTAAAAGTTACTATATGAATTTATATTTCAGGTATGGTGTAAGAAATAGTTTGCTCGTTTCACCAATGCCCACTGCTTCTACTGCACAAATTCTTGGTAATAATGAATCGATAGAACCTTACACAAGTAATATTTATGTAAGAAGAGTTTTATCGGGGGAATTTCAGGTACAAATTTTGATTTATTGGCCTTTGTTAAAGAAAGTAAAAAGTTTTATATTCAGTTTTTATTTTAGGTTGTGAATCATCATTTAATGAATGATCTAACTAATTTGGGTATATGGAATGAAGATTTAAAGAATAAAATAATTGCTTGTAATGGTTCTATTCAGGTATTTTTGTTATTTCAAATTCTATATGTGCATATATAACATTTTATTATTTATATACAGTCAAACTCAATTATAACGAGCATTAGGGGACCGACAAGATTTCATCATTATAACTGTTACTTGTTACATCCATGAAGAGCTGTGTCATAACTAGGGGAGAACAGACTGCTACCTTTGGCACAGACACATAGGGTGCCCTGTGGGCAGCAAAATTCAGCTAAATTACTGATAATTAGTGAAATCTATTTTTTAATTTTTAATTGTAAATAAATTCATTCAAAAAAAAAATATGTAATTACATTATACTGTATTTTTATTAATAGTTATATAACTACAATATAATTGATTTATTTTCTCATAATTAAAGATAATACTAACTGAAAATTGGACATAGTATTAATTAGTCTTTTTATCTGCAAATCTTAAGATTGATGATTGTCATCTTTGACAATATTGACATAAAAAAATAAGTAAGGAAAATTTTCTAACTCATGAATAGTTTCTACTTTTTCTTAAATTAAGAGACATTTACTTTTCTTCATAGACTCATGTAAGGGTTTATTTCTACAAGTATATTGTTAAGAGTAGTAAGGGTTTGTTTCTTTTTACCTAACTACAGTATATGGTAATTTTACAATTGTAATGATTAGGTAGATTGGCAGAATAGGGCTGGAAGCTAGTCAAGAAACAAACAGACAGTTTCCATAAAGAAAGTTAAGTGATAGATAGGCCTGCAACGATGCAGGTTGTAAAACAAATTATCCAATGATCATAAAACTATGTAATGCTTTCAATTTTATCTATTCCAAGAATTTGGTATTGCATTTTAATTAAGAATGTTCACATATTTGCATAGCTACTGAAAATTTGGTCTGTATATCTGTGAAGTACGCTCATTATAACTGAGANCTTTTTTTTTATTTTTATTTTTTTTGTCCTGTGGGTGCTAAGGCCTATATTTCTATACCCATCACGGGTTAGGCCCACAATGGGAACAATCACATGGTGAGAGACAGGGGTCCAACATATACAGGACACACATGAAAAATTCCTGGATATTTACTTTGATTTCATCCTTTATTTTAAAAGATAGAAAGAACAAGGAATTGAAGGGAAAAAAATTAGTATTTATTCCTTTGATATATTATCCAAGAATTTGGTATTGCATTTTAATTAAGAATGTTCACATATTTGCATAGCTACTGAAAATTTGGTCTGTATATCTGTGAAGTACGCTCATTATAACTGAGAAAATGTGCGGAAACACATGTAAATTAAAGTGGCATTTTGCTCGTTAGAACCGGAAACTCGTTACATTTGTGTGAATTATAACAGAGTTTGACTGTATTTTGTCGTCTTTGATTTGTTTTGTTAATGATTTAATATTTTCAGAAAATAGATGGTATTTCTGATGAATTAAAAAAACTGTATAGAACTGTTTGGGAAATACCTCAAAAATCCATTATTAAGATGGCTGCAGACAGGGGGGCTTTCATTGATCAAAGTCAGTCTTTAAACATTCATATTGCAGAACCAAATTATGGAAAGTTAACAAGTATGCATTTTTATGGATGGCAGATGGTAAGAGAATTTAATGATATAAGTAATATAGTTTAAGTCTTTTAGTAAATATAATAAACAGTAATCTCTCTGTCTCTAATATTACAAGAAAAAATTTAGCTCTATTCAGATTAATTTTTGTGTATATTTGTTATAACTTTGCTCCATTGACAGCCAGATGACCGAGCAGTCAAGGTGGCAGCCTACTGCTCTGGGTGGGCCCGGGATTGAATCCAGACGGATCAAAAAAATCCCCAGAAACTTTTGAGGGGTGGTCCACCTGGCCAAACCTATAAAGGGCTTGCTTAAAGGGGCCCTCTTAATGCCCACAGAGCAGAGTTTAAAAAAAAAAAACAAAAAAAGCCTCACTTATTATGAAAATTCACCTCATCTGTTACAAGTTAATAAGTAAAGCTCTTTATAAACCATATTTACATGCATAGTTTGAAAAAAATATAATGAATAAGCTGCTTTGAAATAAAATGTATTATAGTGTTACATCATTTTGGTTCAAGTTGTTAAACATACAATATAACAATATTACATAAATGACATTTTGATCATTGAGAGATATTAGACATATGAAAGATATTACACATATGAAATAGAATCTACTATTTTTTGTCACTGATAATTTTAAATAGGATAAGTAAATAAAACTACAATTCAAGAGTACTTGTGGAATTTTCTCAGGGAGCAGAACTTATAATTTAGATCAACTAATCACCATTTAATTTGCTAAAATTATCATCCTTACATTTATTTCTGCTTACATTACCCTTTATTTTTCTTCACGAGAGTGAATAAAACACACACATATGAAGAGGAAACTATGATTATCATATAAAACAGAGCTTTCCAAATAGTATCATTTCTGCATATGGTTTTAGAACTAGAAGGGCCTTATCATCATGAGAAGACTTGAGTGTAATTACAATTAAAATAATTATACTTTTAGAAAAATACCATTGCTTAAAAATTATTTGAAAACAGCAAAGAAAAACAAAAAGAAAAAAGCAAATTTCAGGGGCAAGAATCCACCTCTGAGTGATCTTGTTACAATTATTAGAAATTTTAGTTTTTGATTCTGATATTAGCTAATTATTTTAACATGTCTTATTATATACATAACTTGAAGATTAAAATTTTATAATTGCTGTTATTGTTAGTTCATAAAACTTTATTAAGAGATTGAAAGATGAAAGAATACCAAAGCAGCATTACAATATTATTCAAATAGGGAAAGAAACATAGTCAAACCAAAAACAATGAAAAATTCAAAAAGAAGCCAGAACAGGAAATCACTCATAATCATTAATTTTTAAAGTACCAGTTAAATGTTATTAGCCCACATTAAGACTTAGAATTAGTAGTAATAAGAATTATAGTTGTCATTATTACTTATTGTAATTGTAATTTTAGTTAAGTTTTATAAGTGTACTTTAAATTACTAAAGCATAATGTAATTACAGATTAGTGTTTAAATTATCAAAGTGGAGTTTATTGTGTTACTATTTCCTTAAAGTGAAATGAATTCAAAGTGTGAATACATTTCAGGCTCATTCTTACTTAGAAAAGTGATTTTTCTAATAAATTTTTGAAAATTTTATCAACTACTGATTTCTTCAACTGATCTAAGTATCATCCACATTGAAAATTTCTCTGGCAATATTATGCCAATAAAAAGTGTTATTTTACAATGATATCAATATAATTGTGATATTTTTGTTTAATTAAATAATGGCACCAAGTACTGCAGTTTGATTTATGTTCCTTACATACACTATCAAAAATAAAAGAATTTATCAAATGTTTGATTTTATGCATTTATATTACACTAGCTGCAAGGACCCGCTTTGCTGGGTTTTTATTTGTTCATACATTTGTATGTAACATAGAAAAACAGTCTTTTATATATAAAAAAAACTAAGTAATGTAGAATCTAGCTGCAAGGACCAGCTTTGCTCGGTTTTTATTTGTGGGCAAAAAGTAACGATAGTGAAGATTAAGATAATTACATTATAGCCAATCTTACCCGTTTTCACAGAATGCAAGAATTAGGTCCCCCGTTTCCAGACTAATTAGAGAATTTTTACGTCCAGTCAAACGAACTATTTTCAATTTGATCAATTTTCTGGAACGTTTACAATCGTTCTGTAATCGAACCAATTTGAATTTAAATTCGAATTCGAAAATTTTAAAAATTTAAATAGAAAATCTTCCACTTTCAACCCCATATCTCCCGTGCCCTTATAGCTATCAAGACGCAATCACCATTCATGTGCGATGTGTAGTTTTGGCTGAAAAGTGAAATATAGGGACACACACATCCATTTTTATATATATATATATAACTACTATATTTTAAAGTGTGACTTTTTATATCTGTGTACATATTTTACAATGTATTCTTTTTGCCTAAAGTATAAACAGAACTAGGGGTGTATTTTTGTTTCTGCCATTTGATTTTATGTGCATATATTTTACTTCACAAACATTATATTTTTTTTAAAGAAGTGCTTGCAAATATGGTTTGAAATGAAAGAATTTGGATGTGTCTACATTAATGTATAATTGCATTGCCTAAATTAGTTATTTGTTTTCTTTAACACTTTTTTTTTATTTTTATTTTTTTTGTCCTGTGGGTGCTAAGGCCTATATTTCTATACCCATCACGGGTTAGGCCCACAATGGGAACAATCACATGGTGAGAGACAGGGGTCCAACATATACAGGACACACATGAAAAATTCCTGGATATTTACTTTGATTTCATCCTTTATTTTAAAAGATAGAAAGAACAAGGAATTGAAGGGAAAAAAATTAGTATTTATTCCTTTGATATATTAACTGCTTTATTTGAAATAAATTTAGAATAAAATTATAAAATGTTTTTGTTGATTTTGTACTTAATATATAATTTTTCTTTTGTATTGTATACTGGCACAATGAAGTGACTTTTCTTCAACACTAGGCAAGTTTCAATCTTTATTCAGTTAGAACGTTTTGCTATACATCTACGTTTCGGGCATTTGCCCCTCTTCAGCCAACTAAATATATATAAAATATTATATGGATACAACCGAACACAAATAAAAAACTAAAAAACGTACAAAAAATTTTTTGTGAAACATACCTCAATTCGATACAAACACCAAATATACAGTAGAACACCAGACGACT